CCAAATGCAAGGAGCCTGGGTTGGGCATGTGAAGGTCTATAAACTCCTGTAAGATCCAGCCCTTGCTCCGCATGGTCTTCTGCCAGGAAAGGAAATGATACGTGTTTTCAAATAATTACCATACAGAGGAGTAAATGAGACACTTAGTGGCATAAAAAGAGTAATTGAAGAGTTCAGGAAATGTACAAAAGACTTTTGACTGGGGCAGTGAGGTAGTCTGTGGTCAGGACATTCAAGGATTGGCAGGATTTCAAAGAGGTGAGTAGAAGGAAGAGCATTAGCACAGGGGCAGCAGCAGGAATAAAACAGATCCAGGGAATTCTACGTAGTCCAGCTCAACCGGATCACGAGGAAGATGAGAGCAGAACCTTAATACTGGGCAAGACGGCAACTGTCCATGAATTCAAAGACAAGTATTTAGAGTGTGGTCCAATAGGGCAGAGTGACTCAGGGAAGGGTGGAGCAAAGAGTGATGTGATCAAAGCAGTTTTGATATTGCCACGGAGAAACAAAACATCCTTTCTTTCTTCAGTATAAATAAAAGGAAAACAACTTTGGAGAACCTAGTATTCTGAGCTGTACTATTTTTGTCACTTTTCAAGTACATTTAGAAGTTGAGGATGTTTTACTGAAACTCATAAAATCTTAATGAAAATTTTCCAAAATGTTTACCCTGAACATCAACTTTTGTTCCTATTGTGTTCCAACCAGCCTTCGTGGTCACTGGTGCACATAAGGTAAGGAAGAAAGCTCTCTAAGCAGGTCACCAAGTCATACTCGGAGGCCATCTCATTTGACAGTGGCAGCTTTTAAAAATCTAATTTTCAGAAAACATTCTTTCTGTTATCATTTGTGGTATTTGAAAGATATAGGTGGATAATCAAATATGAAATTCCACAGAGGACATAGCACCATTTAAAGACTATGAGTCTAGAAAAATCTGAATTAAACAATCATTGTTCAAACAGTACCCACACCTCAACAGTGTTTCACTATTACAAAATATATTAGTAATCTTTTTATTTTGCTGGTCAAATTAAAAGATACCCCCAAATAATGCTTTAAAGTTTTGTTAATACATTATGTCACAATAAATTTTTACTTAGGAGGGAAACATTTTCCTAATTAAAACCAGAAACTATGCATTGTCTGCTGCATAAAGCAGAAATTTTACTTTGAAAGAATCAACATAAAGCTTTCAACTGAAAAATGGGAAACAAGAATACAGATGTAATATAGGAAGAAATATTTAACACAAAGAACCAGTAAGAACTGCCAACAAAAGATGAAAATCCTGAAAAACAAGAAAGAAAGAAAGAAAAAACCCATAGGGTCACATTCATGTCAAGACATGAAATTAGAGTTCTGAACAAACTGTGACCACAGTCATTACCTAAACATTCTCAGGTATTCAAACTGTCAGCTCTTCATGCTTCCTCTTCCTGAAATGTTGCTGAGATCAATCCCCGGTCAGATAATACGGGAAGAGGTCTAAAGTCATTAGAGATTTCCTGGCTTGTAGCCATTTGGGCCCTTGCCTTTCTCACTTGCAGTTAAATCTGATCATCTGTCCCTCCTACATTTCTTTCCCCCATCCTGTCAACAATTATAAAACAAGGAAATATACAAAATGCCCTTTATTAGCTTCTTCGCTCTCTTTAACACAAATTCCAAATTGTCTTCTTATCTCAGAGGGAATGAGTCTTGATGGAATTTTCTAAGTATTTTGACGAGTATCTAAAACCACTTTAATATTACTGCTAGTTTAGTGCCATTCATTCCTTCCCTACCTTCCAAAATAACAATCCTGAAATTAGCCAGTCGTAGGGGTCTCAAATTTAATGACTAGTAATTTTCCCCGGAAACTTCAGATGAAAAAGATATCGTATTGTACACAATCAGATAGAGTAACAGGCAGGCCATCTGACACATTTTTTCAAGCAAGCATGTTAAAAATGAAGAGTTATAATTTTTAACTCCAATCCTGGACTTTAAAATTTCAGAGACACAGTGAAAAGTACTATTGAGTTCACATACACAATTGTACTGTAGCTTTTCCATAGAAACTTCATTTTTAAAAATATATGATTGTGCTGGCTTTTTAAAATACTGAAGTACAAAATAGGAAACATTCTTCAAAGATAATTGATCTACTGCAATCGTCAGGAAACTTTGTCTCTCTGTTGCTGAAGCAACAGTCTCTTCACCACAAAATTGTCAAGAACTACTTGAGCCCAAGTTAACCTCTTCCTTCCATAACCACAACAGTTATAGCCAATAGTTATACCCCATTCTACTACTGGGTAAGTGACTATGCAAGATCTTACACTGGTCCCTAATTGATATCTATATGTTTTACATTGCTAAACTCTAACTTTCTCAAAAGCAGGATAGCCATACTTCTTCTTTACCTAGAACTTGTTACTATATAATGTCTCACAAGTCCACAGAAAACCTCATTGAATAACTCAAGTGTTACATATATTTGATTCCTAATGCTCTTTCTAAAGTGTTGCTTCTGCACTTAGGACAGTGTAGTGTGTCTGATCATTGACAAGTAGAAAAAAAATCAAGTTTTAGGAAACCTAAGCAGAAGCATCATCACAGTAAAAAAAAAAAAAAAAAGGAGAAATTAGATAATGGTCTAGAAATTGCTTCCCTTCTCAAATAACTATAGTTGCCACTAACCTCTCTTCCTCCATGCCCTGCCCCCACCATATCCACCAAATTAAAGGGGGAAAAGTCTGGATAATTCATTCACAACATGCAAGAGCTAAATTATCTAGGCAACTGCATTCTTTGCCCAAATCTTCCCTTTTTGAATATAAAAAGAAAAATATATAAGAAGGAAGAAAGCTAATATTTTGAAGTCTACTACCGGACAGGAACATCACTAGCAATTTTACATGTGTTATATCATATATTACCATCCACATTTTGTCAACGAGACACTGAGGCCCAGTGAGGCTGAATAGTTTAACCTAAGGACAAAGACTTTGGTTTCCTTTCCCCAACTACCCTCAGCAAAATTAATCCCAGAGTTCAGTCACTCATTGAAAAAACATTTATTGAGCACTTACCAAAGCTAGTCATCATTGTAGACATCAGAAATAAGAAAGTATGTGAGGCCGACCAAGCCCCTCATAAAGCTTACATTCTAGTGATGAAAGCAGAAAACAAATACCCAAACAGGATATCTGAGAGTTATAACAGTTTACCAATATAACTTATGTACAATGATAGTCAAGTATTTCTAAATATCTATGAGATTAAATACTTACAAAAACAAAATGGGGGGGGTGCTTATGAATGGTAACACTGTGGCCCTCTTGTCGAACTAAGCTAAGCTATTGCATCTTTTAACAAACAGAGGGAGAGAGAAGGAAGCAGAGTATTAATGCTGCTCAGAAAGTCTTTATAAAATAAAGTGATTGTGTGAGATATCAGAATGGACAGGGCCAACAATGTTGGTTCTCAAACTGCAAATTTTGCCTTTATTTGTTATTACTAAGGTACAGCTGCATTATTTGGAAAAATCAAGGGAGTGTTGTAACTCAACATAATCCCCCTATGAGTAACACAAGACAGTTTCAACATTCTCATCACAAGGTTTCCCATGCTGCACATGGTGCCCATTGGGCAAAGGCATCCAGCACTCAGTCCATGGCCAACAAGAACTATAGCACTCAGAGATTAGAGTGGGAAGTAGCTATCAGGAAGTGTTTGGCCCCAGTGTGGCAGTTCTCATTACCCTCCACACTCCTAAATGAAACTTCACATCTATTAAACTTGGGAACATATGCAAAATTCTAAGTTTTATTTTAAGCAATGAAGACTCAGTGGAACTTACCCTTCCTTCCCTCACCTATTTCTACAAGTATACAAGTTGACTAAATTAGCTAGGAGCCATTTCTATAGCTGCCCCCACCCCCATGATATTTATGTGTTGTGTCATTTGGGTTGGCCCCTGTCACTAAGACCTGGAGAGAATTTGCATTTGTAAATTACTTTGGAACTCCAGCGGAACACAGTTTTAGCATTAGGTGGAAGACAGTCCAGAGACCTAAGGCTAAGATCAGGACTTCATTCACAGGGCTGTACCTTCCTGCTAGAGCACTCTTTGCAAATCTATTTTTGCTCCTTTAAGTTACTACGTGGGGAGTGGAGGCTGTGTTAATTTCATCAGTGTACACTTTCTATTTCCTCCTAGAACTGTCACACTCCAGCAGTTAAGATCCTCAAAGAAGCCTCAATCCCCTTCTAGAATCTTTCCCTCCCTTGCTTCAGAAGGGAGCAACAGTCCTTATCAGACAAGCGACATCCACAAGCCAAAAGTTTGTAACAAACTTTGAGTTAGATACCAACCCTCACCCAAAAGTCCTGCCTCTTAGCTAAGGAGGTAAGTGTATTACACCCCATCGCCCTCCAAAAGAGCTAAACCCTGTTTAAGAAGGAGCCCACGTTTCTGTCGATGGGGAGAAATTCTAAATCTTTCCGAAGATTCCGCCGCCACCCCAACACCGGACTCACCGGGTCAGAGAGGGACCACTCCCCCGCTACAACCCTGGGGGCGGGGGCGGAGAGGGTCTCCCAGGAAGCACACACCTGAGGTTGATCCTCTCGCGCGAGGGGAGACAGAGCAGGAGCGCCCGGTTCCTCCGGCAGGGGCGGAGTCTCTGCCTCCCCCTCGAGTCAGAGCCGCGGCCCCGGTACTCGAGGCGCGCGTGCTTGTCACCCGGGGCAGGCAGGGCGACTGTAACCCGACGCGCCCAGCGCCGCCGCGCCCCCCGCCTCCCCGGCAACTTGCTCCTCCCGCTCCCTCCCCGAGGGGCCGACCCCGGCCGCGCGGCCGCCACATCCAGCCGGGATACCTTGGGGCCCAAGGCTCCTCTGGG